CTATTTTTATTCGGGACACAGATAGGACTAGCCCAAAAGTGTCTACCAGATTGTGGTAAATTAAAATCGCCACAAATGATATAGTTATTTAGAAAAATATGAAGAAATTTAATGCAAAATAAATTTAGTGCCACCCCGTCTCTGGGAGTTATGTAAACACAACAAATATGAACATTGTATCGTTTTTCGCGGTTGGATATAATGGTGACCCAAACATCCTCAGCCTCAGATATCCACGAGTCCTCAGAGAAACTAAAAATTTCATTTGACACAGGTTCAGAAAAAATGAAATCATTAGTCCCTAAGCTAGTCCATCCATTATTGGTACCATATGAGTACCTACCAATAAAAAAATTAATGCATACTTTAATTTGTAACAGTATATACTTTTTTGCTGGAGATTTGAAAAATCTTATTTTGTTTTTTATATTTTACAATATATAGCTGTTGATCAATTTATTTTAAAAATAAGTACTATGACATTTTCGTTTGTTAATAATATTTTTCGTTACATTCTAGTTGTTTATTATCATCTGTAACAATTTAAAAATTGGATAAAAGCAAACTAGATGCGTTAATTTTATAACCAACAACGTTATTTTTAACTTTAACCCATAAAAAAAATTATATGGACTTGTTTACTAAACACCAGTGCGTGTTTATTTTTTTATTCATTTTCCAAGAAATTAGTTACTGCATTTTTATAGATTGCGAATATTACAATCTTGTATTATGTTTCCTCAAACATTAAGGCTCCCCTCAATAACTCCTTACATATATGAAACTGATGATAAGAACGAAAAAATTAACAAAGCAATCGCTTATACCGGAAGTAGATGTTTATTTACATCTTAGAGATGACAGAACTATCAAAAATATTTTATACAAAAACACCGTTACTAACACAATAACACTGGATACAAGTGGAATCCGAAATGTTATTTATAACATGTATAAAAGAAGTAAGTACAAAATACATTTTTTTATCCAATCATAATTTATGTTTCCAATAAATGTTTAAATTGGTATATCTACAGTACTTAATGTAAATACATATTTATTTGAAGAACAACATATAACTTTTGAATCTTTAAGAGAAAAATTTAATTAAGAAACAAATGATTAATGGCTGTGCTATATCATTGTGGATTTTATTAAAAGAATTAGGTTTCAAATGGAAAAAAGATGACCCAAGACGTGGTCTTATGGAACTTCCGGATATTGCTGTAAGGAGAGTTCAATTTTTAAGGAATAGATGCAGCTTTATATCAGTTTTACATTTTATTACAATTTCAAACTTGAATTCTTTAAGTACATATATCTACTGATATTGTGGTTTATAACCTAAATGTAGTTCTATTAAATAAATTTCTTGGTGAAATGAAATTAGTTTGAGATATTTTCTGTGCTAATTCTGGACCGATTTTAGTTCATCTGCAATATACTACTTTACAGTTTTATTTTCCATAACTATTTGCAATATGTTTACATAATTTTTGTTCAGATGTTTATTATGCATAAAGAAAATCAATATTTTTCATTATGTACATTTAAAACTAATAATTGTTTTTGGTAACATAAAAAAAAGAAAACATAACCTTACAATTTCAAAACTTTCTAAATTCTAACGGGATTGGTATTAAAAATACTATAGCTATTTAAACCTGAAGAAACCTTCCAACAGACGTCATTATATTACCTTTTTTTATCACTAATTAAGGAAATTTTTCTTATATTATATTAAAATTTATTAAGTTACTTGTTTAGTTAATTATATATATATATATAAAAACAATCTAATTTCTACTGGTAATAAAGATCAATTTTCTGTAATTATTATTTTAAATACATTGTATATTTCAAAACAGATAATGAAAAAAAAAATATGTTACCTTTTGTGATATGTATTTAGGTTACAATAGATAAGCTACATAATAGGTAGTAATTAAAAAAACTATACATTGAATACTTTAAAATGAAATAATGTAACAAAAAGTGGTATAAAAAATAAAATTATTCTACTATCAAATTAAAATCCAGATTGCTCTTGTTGTTATTGAAATTGATACTCCTTATAAAACATGTCTAGTTGACTAATTTATTATCTTTGGATGTCATTAAAATGATTACAGAAAATTGATATACCATTTACTGGTTATATTAGGTTAGGTCAGGTGTATGTAATTGTATAAATGTTTTTTACAATCAGCAGAATTTAAAAATTCCATAACAAATTTAACGATTTTGCAGATTTAGAATTAATATGAACAGATAAAGAAGAAAATTTAATAACTAAAAAACTATTAATTTGAATAAAGTTATCACATTTGAGTAAAAATAACAAAAAATTAATTTCAAAAATCGTTTCCCAATGTTCTACTAAGAATAACACTAACATAATAAATTTTGTGTCTATTCAAATATTTCTAAAATTAAAATATTTCTCTAAATAATGCAGAAATTGAAAGTGAAAAAGTATTTTTTGAAAAAAAGTCTTGTTTTAATTAATCAATCATATCTGTTAATAATAGTATAAGTTTAATAAATATTGCAAGTTCAAAAACTAATCTTCTTAACTCAATCTTTTGAGTATTGAATATATTTTAAAAAATTATTTATAAAATATAAACAATTTTTTTATTTTTGTAATTATCTACAAAAATACATTAAAAAACAATGTTCATTTCATTTCGTTTTTCAATTCCATCATTTATATTTATTTATATAAAAATTATTTAAATAATAATTAAAATATAATGTGTGTTAATAGAAAAAAAAAAATATAATTGAACAAGTAAAAATATAAAAATGTTTAAGAACAAATAATATAAATTAATTTACAATTAAATATTAGGAAAAATGTTTGACCTAAAAACTATAATGTATTAAAAGAAATATTATGAAAAATGTATCAATTTAAACCTTTCAAACATTTCTTGCAAAAAAGTCAAGTTTCCAACACTGAAACGATAGAGGAAGGTGAAAATATAGTTTTTGAAGCGGCAGCACCACCATCCTCTGCAACATGTGAAGCATCAACATCATCATCATCATCATCATCATCACTTATCGAAAAAAATATATTCTCTATAGATCATCCTAATAAAGACGGCTACAAGTGACACTTCTGACGATGAAGTTTCTACTGAAGCGGTGACTGAGAATACTAGTATTCTTATATCAGAGGTTTATGGTCCAGAATTTTTGAATACTCCTTAATCATGGGCAAGTTTTTTCCTCTTACTAGGTAAAATTTTTGTCTACTATATGAAACAGTTCCCCTAAGAAATATTTTTAAATACTATAAATAATATCTATATAATTTGGACAAAATATATCATGAATACCTAAATGTTTTTTAAAAATATTTTTCGCAATGTCAATTGATTGGTTTTTGTTTCTCAGTATATTGTTATTGATACATTTATGCAATTTGATATAATTCAAATGAATCAGGGAATTGAGATTAATCTGATAATTATTGAGGATAAAGAAAAGAAACATTTTTAAGTAAGTTTATTTTGTAGAAAAATGGTGTTTTGGATTATATTTTTTAGGACAAACATTTTAACAACTAATTTTGTCTCTTAAAAATTTGTAATTTATTAAATTTTTAATTGTTAATTTCAAATATTATTATTTAAATAATTATTGTATAAATAAACATAATTCATAAAGTTGCAAAATCATATGAATAGGAAAATAAAAAACCAAATGCAGTTTACTCAAAATGGTATAAAATATCAGGTATTTTTTTAAAGTAAAGAAAATATATAAATATTAAGATATTCAAGAAAATTTCAGTTCATTTTGAATTATTTTTTGAATGTATTTTTTTATAGATAATTAAAAATGAAGAAAGACTGTTCATAGTTTATAAATAGTTTTTTTACAGGTATTCAATACTCAAAAAAAAAAAATAGGTTAAAAATGTTTATAACTGATTAAATTTTTAGATTTATTTCAAAATGTGCAGATATTTTTTTCTATAATGAGGTATTTAAATGTTGTTGTGTAGTAAATGATTTTGTTTTAAAACTAACTGAAATTGTATCATTTTTAATTTTATTACTATTATTATTAACAGATAAATAATTTTATAAAACATTTTTCGTAAATATGTTATTATTATTATTAATAATAATTAAAAATATACTAACCGCAGTATCAGTCTCCATAATCATTTGTAAATCACAATTATAAAGTCTTGTATATAAAAAAAATTACATCACAGTTTTGTTTTCGCGAAAAAAACCCACCACAACCGTAATTCACCTCTACAAATCATAGATGGCCTGCCCGACAGTGTTGGCGATCGTTTCGAGAGATTCAAATGTTTCGATTTGACAGTTAACCACCATCACCACGGCCTACTTAACCCGGCCAAAGAAGAATCAGCAACAAAAACAAAAAACAAAAGCGAAATGATTTTTTTTGCGAGAGAATGAGTAAGAAATTTTTTAAAACGGCTCGTCACGTAACTACGACAGAGTGCAGTTTAAAATTGCAATGACCGACTAGAAGTGCATACTTACATCAAGGCGGCCTTGCCTGGTGTGTACAAAACCCTGGATAAAAGGCGTTTTTTTCATAGAGGGGGAACTTCAAGGGTAAAATGCGAGATTGGTACAGAATACGATTATTTTATTTTATAAAATTAAAGGAAGAAATAATGTTAAACCGCAACTCATTTCCTTGTATAGTAGTATCTAGCACGAGTTTCGGTTTTTGTTTTTTATGCGTTTTGCAAACGCACTCTACTCGGAATATAAATAGAAAATATTTATATTTATCTGTCTTCTACATGATATTTCTATCTATAACTAGTTTTTTGTTTTTCTAAATACCTATGCATCTATTTTGGTATGTGAAGATAACAATGTTTGAAAATATTTTAAAAAACAGCAATTATTAAATAAATGGACCAAAAGATATTTGGGACCTATCAGAATCTATTAAAATTTAGAAAAAGTTAACAAAATTATTCATAATACAAATAAGTCTACAAATGCACTACCAAAAATACTAATTTTGACTGATGAACATGGAACTAAGAAAACAGTTTAAAGATGTCCAAATTTTGCAAATTACTAAACCTGGAGCAACTTTAGGCCAAGTGATAGAAAATATTGAGATGTTGGTAAAAGACTTTAGTTTTAAGGATTATGTTATTGTTATGGGCGACGCAAATGATTTCCTGCTTGATAAATATCCAAGTATGAGATTTTTAAATTTTAAATTAAAGCAATGTACAAATACCAATTTAATATTACTTTCGATGCCAAAAATTAATAAAAATAATAACCGTGTATTTAAATTTATTTCAAAACTGCAGTTATATTAATTCTTTTAACCAGTATTGAAGCCAAAATGTCTTCTACTTGGATATCTGTAACAAGGGGGGTTATAAAATGAACAAATATAAGATACCTCTTTCCATAAAGAGTGCAATATTGAACATCAAAATTTAATTTATATTAAACCTAATTAACCAGAAGTTTTTAGAATAAATGAAATAGATACATATGATGTTGAAAAGAGTTCCACGGCACCTATTAGTCTATATGATTTAGATACAGAAAATAGTTTTAGTTTAGACATGACCATTCCTTTGTGCATGAAATCTGGAGTTTTTCCAAATACATTTAAAGTATCACGAGTTATCTCTGTTTTCAAAATCTACCATCTGCTTACGGACCTATCTGAATTATACCAATAGTAAGCAAAATTTTTGAAATAGTGTTAAAATAATAAATTATGAATGAATATTTTTGAAAGCAACAAGTTGCTAAGCCAAAATCAATTCGTTTACAGGGCAAACAAATCAACAATTAACACAATATGTGATCTCTATGAAGCTGTTTTGAGGATCTTTCACATAATACTGCCAGATTTTATGATCTTACGAGAGCGTTCGATACGGTTCAACATGACATTTTATTATTAAAATTAGAGAGATATGGAGTTAGAGGGACACCATTACAGCTTATTACCTCTTATTTGCAAAAAATAACTCAATATGTTCAAATTGATGGGCATACTTCGGGCAAGAATTCAGTACTGTATGGAGTTCCACAGGGTTCTATTCTCGGACCCTTACTTTTTATCATTTACTTTAATGATTTATCAATTAATCTAAGTAATATCATTCAAGTGTATTATGCTGATGATTAAACATATAGTGCTACAGATAAAAATAAATCTGATGCAATAGAAAGGCTAAATGAAGCAGAAGTTATGTCAAATAATTGGTTTGGTAGCAATGGTCTCACATTAAACGAAGTAAAAACACAACAAATGTCATTTTCTATCATTGTTAAAAGTCAGGACTCACTTAACACATTGACTGCCAAGCCAGAATCGTGACAATTTCCCCCAGTCCAATCGTTTTTTTCTGTTGACCAGCGTATTTATGTTCGTTTTGAACAATTTTGATAAAAAAGTTGTATTTTTTCTGTTTTTGAAAACAAAACAAAAATTATTTTTTTTGGAGATTTTTTCGAAATATTTTTAATATGATCAATTCAAACAAATTTTTGATTTTTCACCCGGACTAATTCCTAATTCATTCATAAAAATAACTCGAGAGGCCGACAAAAATATTTGACAACTTTTCCAAAAGCAATTTTCTCAACTGTTCACGTAATCCGGAATTAAATATCATGTAGAATCAGAATGACATGGTTATAATTGAAAACGTATGCAAAAAGCCATCGATAATGAGCAAACTTCAAATATTTACATTTATTCTCTCACGCAACTAAAAACTTTTTCCGACTCGTTGGTATTATAAATCGACCGCACGGAATCCGTTTGGAAATACTTTTCGTTCTCCATTTTTGTAAAACAACTAAAATTAAAATATAACTTGTAATCAAATCGGATTTATAGCCATCCGCATGAAATAAGTGTGTTCGTCGGTTTATAAATTTTCATACAAAATGAGAAAAACCCCGAGCTGCTTAGGGGAAAAATATCTCGACATTGTGGCGTGCTTTCAGACCATTATTTCAAAAATTTTCAAATTATAAGTTTGAAATATAATTTTATAATATCGCATGTCAATATCTTCTATATTAGGAAGCAAATTATCATCTTTCGAACTAACAACCAACAAATATTAAATATTTCAACTATTTTCTGTGTAAATAAACTTGCAATGCTATTAAAAAAAGAAAAAAAATGTTTTTAGATCAGTCTTGGCTTTGGAAATTTAACACATCTCACTTCGTGTTGAGTAGATTTGATCTTTTTATTCTGATTACACATTCTTTATTTTAATTATAATTTTTATATGATAAAATATTTACAATTTGATAGAATTTTAAAATTAAAATGTACAGGAAACCATTATAATTTGTGTGGCACATTTTCTATATACATTTAAACAAGTTTTAAAGTCGTTTATACAGATCAAAAAAGTATAGGTCCTAAAACAGAGCCTTGTGCAACACCGTCTTTTTTTGAAAAAATCTCAAAAGTTACGTTTTTAGTACAGTCAGCAGAATCTGTTGCTTAAATAAGATTTGATCAATTGAATCCAAATTATATGCTGTCAAAACCATTTTTTAAGTCACAAAACATTGCGTTACCTATTTCTTTTTGTTCTAATCCGCTTATTATTTCTTCTACTATATTTACGCGGGTTTCAGATTAAAAAATTTAAAAGTATTTCCAGGTAAGTACCCGAAAGTTTGACCTGTTCTTTGAGGAAATATCAACTGATTAAATGAAATGAAAAATAATGTACAACTTTTTAATTAAATAATAATGGAGAATCTTTTGTATAATTGAGAGCAGTATTAAACTTCTTCCTTAATGGAGTCTAATGTGGCTATTATAAACCTAATAATCATTTTATATTACATTTCACACAGAAAATATGGTCTATGTATAAGCTCAAATAAAATATTTTCTAATATGTTGTTGTTGTTCCATATAGAGAATTTCAAATGAAAAATAAAAAAAATTGAACTTGCCAACAAAAATGAAAATCAGTCATTATCATCCAAAATATCATAATCGTCATCATCATCACTGTTATCACCATTAATTGTTATTATGATTAGACTTATTTCGTTTATTTGATTTTCACGAGTCCACCAATTTTCTATTAGTTTCTCGCACTTGGATATACAGTTCCGCCACACTTCTGGAGTTGCAATTGAACGTGCTTTTCGCCAAGTTTCCCGAACAGCGTCGTCACTATAACCATTAGGCCCAATATGGTTGTCATAATATTGTTTTGCTATTCCCCATCTATATTCGATGGGATTAAACTTTCAATAATCTAATCCACAACAAAGGTTTTTGGTTTTGCGTGTATATTTGTCAAGCGTAATTATTCTGATTTTAATATATATTGAGGAAATGGTATATGTTCCATTATCAATCATTCTTTAATTTTATCAACAGTCCAAGAATTCGTTGGACTTTTGTTTAATACTTCAGAATGTAAGGTGCATTGTCTAAAATAATTACGCTGTTCTCACTTAAACCTGGGAGAAGTTTTTCATGAAACCATTTTACAAACATTTCTGTGTTCATATTATCGTGATAGTCACTGGATTTTGATTTAGATGAAAATATTAAATCAGCACCTTCTATAAAACCCGATTTCCCTCCTGCATGTAAAATTATGTGTCGCTTCCCTTCTCCATCGGTATGTTTGATGGACTTTACGTTATCATCTTGCCATATTCTCTTTGTAACAAATTTAGTACCTACCCTAATGTTATTTTAATTTAAATCTGACCATTTGGGCAATTTTACTTAATTTCTTGGGAAGAGGCTTATGGGAACTAGTCGTCAATGACTAATTTGCATAATTTTTTTAATCCGAAACCCGCGTAAGTATTGCGAACAAACTGGTTATTTTCTAAAATATTTATATTTATATCTGATTTTCTTCTTTCTTTCCGTCATGTTGAATGTATCGCTCTTGATTGTATATTATATTATATCCTGGTATATTGTAAAAACTACATTTTCAAATAAACTCTAAATACATATAATCTTTTTTTTATGCTTTTTTTATTAAATTTAAATTATTTTAATTTTTTTCATAATGAATATCCCTCTTGAGAGAACTCTTATTCGAATACCCTGTATACTTTATATTCGAGTTTTATTATTAACTTGATTTTAGCCTAGATCACCTCTAGCTTAGTCTATATTGTGCTATATAAATAGCCTATATGATTTAAATATTTTGCAACCATGTTAATAATTTTGTTATTGCATGAATAGTTTTTTTATATTTTAATATTTAAAAACCGCATACAATGGTAATGATATTCATTCATTCCGAATGAACTGAATGGACCTTGAAAAAATGTCTTATCTACACACTTATGCGTTTTATGATATGTAATGCATGTCTGTTTAGTAGACTAATATTTTATAGGTGGGTATTGGTCTATATACACTTTCTACTAATTATGGTGTTTGAATAATTTTTATACACTGCCTACTTGTGTTATACATATTTTTATGCAAGCTAAATCCATAAATTTGTTAAATAGAGAAGTTTGAACAAAAGTTTGTTAAATATATTAATATCTACTTGATTTATCGCTATCGAGACGGAGTAATATATCTGTCAGATCAGGAATATCAGGTGTGGGTGCCTATTTTATTATTTACGGGGTTATGTATCATTTAAATATATATTTTTTTTAGTATATATTATTGAGTATTATTTTGGTATGTAGGAACTTTACAAAATTTATTTTGAGTTATGTAAAAAGTCCGGTACTGGATTATTATTTTTAAAAAATTCGCATATAAAACTAAATTGTTACTTAATTGTTTATAACTTCAATTAATATTAAATAGTTTAGTTTTAAATTATATTATTTTTACTTCTGATGCACTTGATCCGAATTTTTTTTTAAGAAAACAAAAAACAATTAAGATTTTAATTAAACCATAATTATTAATTATAAGGCAGTTTTGGTAAATTGATTGTTTATGTCAGGAAAAAACATAACTATAACAGTCTTTCGAGTAATATAAGATACACAAATTTCGTTTTATGATGCAAAGCAGGACGATGCTAAGGATTTAAAAAGAAGGACTGTCGTCCTGTGTTTTTTTTTTCTAATCGAGACAACTTCGATGGCTTTCGAGATAAAAAGAAAGGAGCCGCAGAAATGTTTCGTAATTGAATTACCTTTAAGTGCTCCTTCCTTTCTTTTATTCCAACGGACTCACCACTTAAATACTTCTTTTGTTTTTAATCCGAGTTTTCTTCTTTTAAGTGGGATGATAAACGAAAGTTTTGAATATTTTAAACCTCGAAATCGCTTATTGGGTTATTTTTACGAAGGCCGTCTTTAAAACAG